AGCTTAACATCTTTGGAAACAATATTTCCAATTTTGACTTCATCCTTCTCCCAATGAATCAATAAATATCATGTGACTGGTCTGTTTGTATTTCTCGCTTCTCTCCACTTTGCAGTACTTGACTAGAGCCACCTTCGGTATTGATTTCTCTTTCTCAGTGTGTGTTATTCCACAGGTCGTCACGCAGTCTGTTAGTTTCCAAATCATACAAGCTCTCGTGAACACGCACATCATCATCAGTGAACAGGATTAAATGTGTCTGGGTCAACTGGGGTTTTATCAGAGGCTGCCTTTTCTCATTTCAACTTCAGCAACTATGGGGTTGTTTATCATACAAGTCAATGCTTCAGAGAAAAAATTGTCAATCTGCTGCAGTGTTGAATACAACAAACTGAAATAATTTAGTTATTTTATTTATTAAAGCATGCTTGTTTAAACATCTTTTTTTTACCTAGTAATATATACATTGAGTTGTATCACCCTAATRGGTGTAGTTACAGATGTTTATGGCTCTCACCCAGCTATACATGTAGCCCCAAGTGGTTTTACATTTTTATTCACCACTTTTCTTTCATTCATCTTGTATAAATTCAAGAAAATAACAACTTGCTAATGGATTAAATATGACAGAGCAGCAACTAATTTTTTTAAATTATTCATTATTATGATTTTAATGTAGAAAGCTCTTATTCAATCAGTCTCTGGGTAAAAATCACTTCTTAAGGCTTTTTGTAAAATTATGATAGAGGAACATTATAAAAAGCTGTTTGTGCATCGCTTAGATTGTTGACCTTCACATTAATAAATTCAAAAGTTTGAAGCTAAAAGGCTTAATCAAGGTTTTTCAACTCAAAAGGAAAAAAAGTTACTTTAAGTTCCCCAAAAATCTGAGTTTAGTGCATTTTTTCTGTTTGCATAATTTGGCTTGTCAGACAGAAAGCTTTTACAACTCTCCATTCAGAAATTATACCAGTATGCATATTTGTCTCCTAATACACAAGTTTTATTCTCACCAGTGCAGCTTTCCTTTTAAGCAGAATCTTTGAAAACTCTGGTGACAGTATGTCTTTTCATTTGGCTGAGGTTTTAGTCAACAAATTCACACTCACAGGTTTGAAGTTTATTTCCTCTGATTTAAATGGCTTTTTTCTCATTCCTGCACCATAGTGATTTTTTTAAAATGTGTTGCTTTTCTATTGTTTTTCTTGTTTGTTTTTTTGGTGGTGGGTGGCTGCTCCTCTTTGAGGCGATCGTCACAACGAAAGAACTCACACAAAGATTTGGCAATTGTTTTACATTGGATACCTTTCTTGATGCAACCTGGACTCGAGCTTGCAACCTCACGATTACAAGACCATGGTATTAACCACCGAGCTGCCACAACCTCCCCATTGATTATCTGCTTGTTATAGCAAACCGATAAGTGAGACAGGAAAGATCAACTTTGCAATTATGTGAATTTAATATCACAATCATAGTTCTCAAATACTCCAGCCTTCATCAGGGCCACAGTTGGGTCATTAGAAGTTGCAGGGCAAGGGTTAGGGTGGGACATACAGTATTAATTAGCTGTGGATGGGTTTTTGGTTGCTTCACTTAATCTTACTCGTGGAGCAAAGATTTGCCAAATTATGCAAAATCCCTTATAGGCAAGACCAGTGTTTTTGCAGAAGCCTTAGCTGCTAACAAGTGGAAGTGCAAAATGAACAAAGCATTTAGTATATCTTATATTGAATAAATGTTCTCTTATTGAGTTCATTCAAGTTTATCAGCTTATAGATGCTGCAGCTCAGTGGTTAGCACTGATGCCTCACACCAAGAAGGTCCTGGGTTTGATCCCTGGATCAGACCTGGGGGTCTTTCTGTGCAAAGTTTGCATGTTCTCCTCATGTTTGCGTGGGTTTTCTCCATGTACTTCGGTTTCCTCCCACAGACCAATAGACTGCCTTCAGGTGCAGGTCTCCCTGGCAAAAAAAAAAAATCTGTGATCTCARTGGGATCTGCCTGGTTAAATAAAGGTTAATAAAATAATTAAAATCTTTAGGTTCTGTGCCTTAGTTTTCAAACAGTGAAAGGAAAAAATGGGGGAAAAATTCTAGTGGGTAATGTCTTTTTTCTGTATAGCTTTTACAATCAATTCAGTTTGCTTAACACTTTCTTAGTTCCTGAGCTAAGAATAAAAATATATATTTTTAGTAATGGATACACAGCCATTGGGTTTTTCCATTCTTAATAATAAAAAGTTTTTTATCCACAACTCATGTTTGAACTACCGGTACCATTGGCCTGCAAATATACTATATATTTTTGTATCCTTCTATGGGACAACTCACTGACCTATTAGAGACACTGCCATATCTTGACGCAAACAATAAAACAGTTGACACAAAAGCAATTTCAAAAAATCAGCAATAATGATTATTTTTATCACTGTGTCCTCCTGCTCTTTGTTTGTTTTTAAATTAGAGATTATTTTATTTTTTTATATTTTTATTTTTTTTTCAAAGTGGATCTGAAAGATTTTTGATTAAGATTGAGTAAATGTCTCTGCCCCTTAATAGACAGTAAACAGCCAAAGGGTTTGCTGGTTTTGGAGCAAACACTGACCTCTAAATGTATTTCTAGTTTTTACGTCTGTTTATGCCAATGTCCTGTTTGTTTTTCTGTTCTTCCTGCATGATGTACTGGGCAGTCTAAAGTGAGAGTGGGTGTTGAGAAAAAAAAGAGGCTACTTTGCAATTAGGACATTCAACATGTTATCTGAAGTAGTTTGTTTTTGTTGTTTGTTACCTTACTTAAGCTTTAATTATGTACTTTTTCCATATTTTCCTAGTAATGATTAAAAATGAAGCTTTGAATGACCTTCGAAATTCAAGGATGCTCTGAAAGCAGCCTGGCTGTCAGGAAATGCCACCTGTTGCTCTTTAAAACACAAAGTGGACCGAGCCTGCAGAAGGGGAGGAGATGCTTTGATTTACTAGTCTTTGATGACAGTACAAGATGATACCAGTAAAGATGGGTGAATTAAATAAATTAAGAATTATTTATTAAGTTAAATTCTTCTCATTATTGTAAATTTTCCGCTGGGTTTATTAGTGATTGGTAATTTCTAGATCTTCCACAAAATTTGGGCAGTAAGTGTTTTTACACCTACTTGCACGTACTCTCTTAGATTTGTAATGCATTACATACAGTACATTAAACAATGAGCATGTTTTTCATGACAATAAGACCAGTGTTGGTGTTCTTCTCTTGTTTTTACCAGGGATGGGTGTAATTACACATACATACTCTTCCTTTCTGTTATGAAATTGCACTGTCTAACAGCACATTAATGTTTGTTTTAGAGTGAAACTGCTTAGTTGGTTGTAAGGGTTTTTTGTTTGTTTCTGATGAAAAGAAAAACAGGTTAGAGGATCAGTTTCAACTCCTGAAGAAAAAATATTTTAATTTAAATGATCTCATCACWTCAGAGATACAAAATGAGATTTAATTTATAAATACATTTTACACTCAATTGGTTTTGTTTTTGCATGAAATTGAGGTACTGTTTCAACAAAAAACTGACTATCACTGAGAACATGTCTGTATTTTGAGAAGAAACTCAGATTAATGCCACAATAACTCAAAGCTTCTCTTGTTGCTGTCTGAATTCAGCATCACCAACCTGGTATTTATTATTATCACTTAAAAGGAACAAAATGTAAAAATCCTATTTTACGTGTTTATCTAATGTCATGTCTTGTGAAGTAGTAAAGCTGGTCAGTACATCATAATAATCCTTTTGGCACAATTAAGATTCACAAACTTGATCACATTTAGGTGAGTTTGATGAGATGATTAACTTTGAACAAGGTTGCCTGGTTACAAAGTCATGGCCAACAACGATCTCATACATGCTTGCTTTCTG